TGTGCATGAGCTCCCACTATTGGCCAAGGCTGCTGCCCCTCTTGATAGGGGGTTCCCAATAAGGAATATTTGCTTTCTTCAACCAGCAGGAGAAGCTCTTGCTTTTCAAACTTTTTTGATTAGGTCAGGCCCACCTGGTATAATCCCCCTTTGACTAACCTAAAACCAGCATTTAGGGACCTTAATTCCATGGCAGAGTCCCTTCACCTTTGCCGTGGGAAGTGGCCTCCATCCTATTCACAGGTCTGCCCATGCTCAAGGGAAGGGAATAGTCCAGGACATGTACACCAGGAACAAAGGGAGCTTGGGGCCCATCTCAGAATTCTGTCTACCACAACCATATAGATAGGTTAAAAGTCAAAGGATGGGTAAAGAAAATACCATGAAAACACTAATGAAAAGAAAGCTGAATCACTATATTAATAGAAAAATAGGTTACAAACAAGGAATATTAGCAAAGAAAAGCACGCCTGGCTGGCTCAGTCAGTTAAGCAACTGACTCTTAGTTTCAGCTCAGGTCGTGATCTCAGGGTTGTGAGATGGAGCCCCACATTGGGCTCTGACTCAGCATGAAATCTGCTTGAGATTCTCTCTCCTTCTGCCCCACTTGCTCATTATCTGTCTCTCTCTCTCTCGAATAAATAAATAAATTTTTCTTTAAGAAAAAGATACAGACATTACAGGAAGATAAATATGTCAACTTACTAGGAAGACTTCCTAATCCTAAAAATGTGTGCACCTAAAACTTCTTCAAAATACATGAAGCAAAATCTAAACAAATCAAAAGGATAGATAAATCCAAAAGTATACTTGGAGACTTTAACCTCCTTTCTTAGTATTCAGTAAAACACATAGACAGAAAATCAGTAAGAATACAGGAGGCGTAAGGCTGGAGACTTTCCCCTTAAGGTCAGGAAAAGTCCAGGAAGTCCACCCTGATCACTCCAGTTCAACATCCCATTGGACATCCAGCCAGTGAAATGAGGCAAGGAAAACAACAACAACAACAACAACCAAAAACACAAGTCATAAAAAGTGGAAAGGAAATAATAAAGCTCTCTTTATTCAGAGATGACATGATTATTTATGCAGAAAATCCCAAAAAGGGAAAAAATATTCCAGAACTAATAAATTAGCTTAGCAAGGTAGAAGAATGCAAGGTCAACATGCAAGGATCGATTATTAGCAATGAACCATTGGAAATTGGAATTAAATCATCAGTACTCTTATAATAGCATTAAAAACCATGAACTACTTTGGGATAAATCTAAGATTTTAATGCTGAAAACTACAAATGTTGATGCGAAAAATCAAAGAAGACCTAAATAAATGGAGAGAGAGCCTATGTTTGTGGATCAGAAAATTCAATATTATTAAGATGTCAATCCTCCCCTAATTTCATCAACAGAGCAACGCAATCTCAGTCAAAATCCGAGTGGGATTTTTGGTAGATATTCACAAGCTTCTTCTAAAATTTATGCAAAAAAACAAAGACCTAAAACTATTTTGAACAAGAAAAAGTTGGAGGATTCACACTCCCTGATTGCAAGATGTACTATAAATCTACGCTCCTCATAACTGTGTGTAACAAATAGTATTGTCAGGGCCTCTGGCTTGAGGAGTAGTCACAGTTCATCCATAGTGGGCTGCACCTGCTTGGCCGCACAGTGGGCTACAGTCTCCTTGTCTTCGCAATCTCT